ATCTCGCTCAATTTATATGAATCTACCTTCAGTCTCCTCTAAATCCCTTGATAATATAATTTTCTTTCTTCTGTGCAACACAAAAGGAGAAAATCAAAGAATATCCCATAGCTCTCATTCACCTTTCTCCAAATTAAAAAAAAAAAAATCTAAAAAAATAATATAATATCAGTCTCAAAAACAACTGTGATTTAAACTGAATTCAAGTCTGTTCCTCATACAGTGCTATTGTATTACCTCAAAAGACATATTGACCACTAATATGATCGTTTTGTACAGCATTTGAGATTGACAGACCTTGCTCACTTTATAATTTCATTGTTTCCTTTTGTGTTCTATGGAGGAAAAAAACATTGGCTACTGCTTTGCAATTGCATAAGTGTGAGTAGTTTTGGATGAACTACTCCTCCGACAAATGTGATCACCATATCTTTATCCTTCAGAATCCTCTTACTGCACAGACAGATTGGATTGCACATTAATGTCAACAAACTGAAGAAGATGCTCTCTCTCTCTCATTCTTTCTCTGCCTTCAGAGTTGAAAGAAGCCTTCCGAGAATTTGACAAAGACAAGGACGGCTTCATTAGCTGTAAGGATCTGGGCGAGTGCATGAGGACGATGGGCTACATGCCCACAGAAATGGAGCTGATTGAACTCAGTCAGCAGATCTGTGAGTGGCAACCTTGTCATTATCATTATACGTCATTATCTCAGTTATACTGAGAGTTTTATTCAAGAACAGACTCAGTAAAACATGAATATCTGAACCACTCATCTAGGGTGTTTTTATGATACTTCTTACATGATTGTATGTTTGTTCAATAGGTGGCGGTAGAGTGGACTTCGAGGACTTTGTAGACCTGATGGGCCCAAAGATGTTGGCTGAGACAGCAGACATGATCGGAGTGAAAGAACTGAGAGATGCTTTTAGAGAGGTTGGTGTTCCATGTTACTGACAGGTGTACTGTATTCCCAAGTTTTCTGAAGTCACACCCTTTTTAATTGATCTTTTTAATCTCAGTTTGACTCCGACGGTGATGGTCAGATCAGTCTGGCTGAACTGAGGGAAGCCATGAAGAAGCTGATGGGAGAGCAGCTCAACCACAGAGAGATTGATGAGATCCTCAGGGATGTCGACCTCAATGGAGACGGCCAGGTTGACTTTGAAGGTTAGAATTATAATTTTGTTCCACGGGTTCTTGAATTTTGATTTTTGCATGTGCATTTGGGAAAACCATTATGTATAGCCTTTATTCATGCTAATATACACACACCGGCCAATTTATTAGGTACATCTGTTCATCTGCTTGTTAACACAAATATCTAATCAGCCAATCACATGGCAGCAACTAAGTGCATTTAGGGATGTAGACATGGTCAAGACAATCTGCTAAAGTTCAAACTGAGCATCAGAATGGGGAGGAAAGATGATTTAAGTGGCTTTGAATGTAGCATGGTTGTTGGTGCCAGATGGGCTGGTTCTGAGTATTTCAGAAACTATCTACTGATCTACTGGGATTTTCACACACAGTCATCTCTAGTGTTTACAAAGAATGGTCCAAAATAGACAAAATATCCAGCGAGTGGCAGTTCTGTGTGCGAAAATGCCATATTGATGCCAGAGGTCAGGGGACAATGGCCAGACCAGTTCGAGCTGATAGAAAAGCAATAGCAACTCATAACCATTCGCTACAACTGAGGTATGGAGAAGAGCATCTCTGAATGCACAACACATTCAATGTTGAAGCAAATGGGCTACAGCTGCAGAAGACCACACTGTGTACCACTCCTGTCAGCTATGAACAGGAAAATTAGGCTACAGTTCGCACAGGCTCACCAAGACTGAACAATAGCAGACTGGAAAAAGGTTGCCTGGTCTGATGAGTATCGATTTCTGCTACAACATTCAAATGATAGGGTCAGAATTTGGCATAAACAACATGAAAGCATGGATTCATCTTGCCTTGCATCAACGATTCAGACTGGTGGTGCTGGTGTAATGGTGTGGGGGATATTTTCTTGGCACACGTTTGCCACAACCAACCTCAGTATTGTTCCTGGCCATGTCCTTCCTGTTATGACCATAGTGTACCCATCTTAGCATGGCTACTTCCAGCAGTATAATGTGCCAGGTCATAAAACTCAATGAGTTCCCTATGCTCAAATGGCCTCCACAGTCACCAGATATCAATCCAATAGAGCACATATGGGATGTGGTGCAATGGGAGATTCACATCATGCATGTGCAGCTGACAAATCTGCAACAACTGCATGATGCTATCATGTCAATATGGACTAGGACTTTGTAGACCTGATGGGCCCAAAGATGTTGGCTGAGACAGCAGACATGATCGGAGTGAAAGAACTGAGAGATGCTTTTAGAGAGGTTGGTGTTCCATGTTACTGACAGGTGTACTGTATTCCCAAGTTTTCTGAAGTCACACCCTTTTTAATTGATCTTTTTAATCTCAGTTTGACTCCGACGGTGATGGTCAGATCAGTCTGGCTGAACTGAGGGAAGCCATGAAGAAGCTGATGGGAGAGCAGCTCAACCACAGAGAGATTGATGAGATCCTCAGGGATGTCGACCTCAATGGAGACGGCCAGGTTGACTTTGAAGGTTAGAATTATAATTTTGTTCCACAGGTTCTTGAATTTTGATTTTTGCATGTGCATTTGGGAAAACCATTATGTATAGCCTTTATTCATGCTAATATACACACACCGGCCAATTTTTTAGGTACATCTGTTCATCTGCTTGTTAACACAAATATCTAATCAGCCAATCACATGGCAGCAACTAAGTGCATTTAGGGATGTAGACATGGTCAAGACAATCTGCTAAAGTTCAAACTGAGCATCAGAATGGGGAGGAAAGATGATTTAAGTGGCTTTGAATGTAGCATGGTTGTTGGTGCCAGATGGGCTGGTTCTGAGTATTTCAGAAACTATCTACTGATCTACTGGGATTTTCACACACAGTCATCTCTAGTGTTTACAAAGAATGGTCCAAAATAGACAAAATATCCAGCGAGTGGCAGTTCTGTGTGCGAAAATGCCATATTGATGCCAGAGGTCAGGGGACAATGGCCAGACCAGTTCGAGCTGATAGAAAAGCAATAGCAACTCATAACCATTCGCTACAACTGAGGTATGGAGAAGAGCATCTCTGAATGCACAACACATTCAATGTTGAAGCAAATGGGCTACAGCTGCAGAAGACCACACTGTGTACCACTCCTGTCAGCTATGAACAGGAAAATTAGGCTACAGTTCGCACAGGCTCACCAAGACTGAACAATAGCAGACTGGAAAAAGGTTGCCTGGTCTGATGAGTATCGATTTCTGCTACAACATTCAAATGATAGGGTCAGAATTTGGCATAAACAACATGAAAGCATGGATTCATCTTGCCTTGCATCAACGATTCAGACTGGTGGTGCTGGTGTAATGGTGTGGGGGATATTTTCTTGGCACACGTTTGCCACAACCAACCTCAGTATTGTTCCTGGCCATGTCCTTCCTGTTATGACCATAGTGTACCCATCTTAGCATGGCTACTTCCAGCAGTATAATGTGCCAGGTCATAAAACTCAATGAGTTCCCTATGCTCAAATGGCCTCCACAGTCACCAGATATCAATCCAATAGAGCACATATGGGATGTGGTGCAATGGGAGATTCACATCATGCATGTGCAGCTGACAAATCTGCAACAACTGCATGATGCTATCATGTCAATATGGACTAAAATCCCAGTGGAATGTTTCCAGCTCTTTAATGAATTTATGCCACAAAGAACTAAGGCATTTTTGATGGTAAAAGGGGGTACCTAATAAAGAGGCAAGGAAGTGTATATAAAAGATGCTTATGGAATGAATGAATGAATAAATTATATATATGTCATGTATATATGCCTCTTTATAATGAATATTCCTCATTTGTAACTCACTTTTGATAAAAGTGTCTGCTATACGTACAGTGGGTACGGAAAGTATTCAGACCCCCTTAAATTTTTCACTCTTTGTTATATTGCAGCCATTTGCTAAAATCATTTAAGTTAATTTTTTTCCTCATTAATGTACACACAGCACCATAAATTGGAAAGGAAACTATCTGTTCATCTCTAACTAACATATTTTTCACCTTACGCTCAACAGAGTTTGTCCGAATGATGTCTCGCTAATTTAGAGGACTCATGAAAAAGGAAGAGAACAATCAGTTTGCCAACTCCTAACGTGAAGAGTGAAATACTATGCGTCTGCTTTAATTAACTACCTTATTAAATTATTTAAACCATACTCTTTCTTCATACAGGGATATTTTACATATTTGCTTGTTTTTATGACAAAGAGGAAAAGTGTTTCTTATTTAATTTATTTTAGCATTTTGGTTAAAAAATTAAGGAGCTAATTAAGGTATTTCCATGTTTCCACATATGTTCAGAATTATAATGGTACAAAGCATAGCTGTAGCACACATTATTTATAAAAGCATGCTATAAACCCCAGAATGGAAATGTAATTAATAACTACTGAAATTATATATGAGGTGTACATGGTCATTGTGGACTGACAATGCAATGCTAGATATAAATCAGTATTATGTGTGTTTTGGAAGGTAAACCACTGGTTAATGGGTCTAAAGTTCCTGTATGATGCTTTTTGGGCTGTTAATGCTTTCCCTGTGGGAACAAGATATTAACATGCAAAACTGGATATTATACAACTCCGGAAGAGTCTGGAGATCCCTTGTAAAGATCCTGACACCCATGTGATCTCCCCTTGTTCCTTAATCATTATGTTTAAACAAATGTTTTTATCTAAATATCTATTCTTGTCAATAGTGAACTATATAAATAAAAACTTCAATATATTTATTGTTATTTCTGTACTCATTAAGATTGTAAATATTCAATAACCAATTAAATTAAATTAAATTAATTTAAATGCTGACTATTAACTCTTATTTTCGAGTATTTAAATCTCTAAAATACAATGGTGGTAAAAAAATAATAATTAAGTTGCGTGAATACACAATAATCACAATGCTTATTAATTTTCCCTTTGTCAGTTACAAAAGCTAAGGCCTAGATAGATTTGCATAATCATATGCATTAATCAAGTATGTCTATAGATGAAGTGATTTAAATTAATACATTGATGTTTCCTGTATGGAGGCTTCTAAAATGCTCTGTGAATTCTCTCACTGTTTTGCCATCTCTCTGCAGTGAAGAAACACATAGACAGGATGAATGAAGGCCAGTAGAGTCAGGACAGTCAAGATGATGTTCACCTACAGAAACACAGAAATACACTAACATTTACTGATTACAGTAAAAGCTGTGGAAAACTTAATTGTTAATGATTTTGGTCAATTTACACACACGGAATTCAAACTAATTGAATATTTAAAGGGGTGGTAAATCAGCTATTTTCGAAGGCTTGACTGTGTTTATTGGGTGCACTGTAACATGTGTTCATGCTTTGTTTAAAAAAATAAAAAATAAATAAAAATGCCCCTAACGGCAGTTGTATGTGCTCTGGTGTACTGTAAACAATGGAGTCAATATATTACCTTATCAATTTGAGCCCGAATCAGACCCAGAGAATATTATTGAAGCGGATCGAGCAGAACCTGTGCAACCACGGCTCTTACAGGACGTTTCAGAATGGTATGTTTTTTGTTTGTAGTTGTCTCATACTTTTTAGATACGCTGTTATTTGTAAATGCTACTGCTGTTTATGTTATCTTTTGATATATACGGTTTTATCCTTATTTAAGTAATTGTTAAATTTATAACAGTAACACTCTACTACAACAACTCTTCCTCGCACCCCAACATGGCCTCACACTCTTTGTTGCATAATAAAAGCTTTATGTAAATTTTAGGGTTTGTAATGTCACCAACCCAGGAAGAAGCTCTTTGTAGTCCCTACCAGCCGTGTGTTGTAGGCCTTAAAAAGTGAATTCTGTCAAATAAAATATCTCCCTTTGCATTTGTCGTAACTTTACAGATGTTGTTTATGCTCAAACAGCAACATTACACACTAACTAAAGTTAAAAAGTGAAATCATAATCAAGGGCCCCTTTAATCAAATGCTGCTGGAAATGTTTATGGAGCAATCTTTCATATGGATTTTAGGTTTGATGTGAAAAACTCACTTTTATAGGCTTTTTTAGTATTTATATAGTTTTAGTATATTAGTATTTAGCATTTAACCATACAATCTTATAGTTGTAGGTATTGTATGGAAGAACATTTCTGCCACATATCATTTTTGATCAGAACTATTACTTTTTATGTCCATAGCATGTTGTATTTAAAACAAAATGTTATGTTTTAGAAATAAAAACAATAATTATAACATTATTAGTCAAAATTGTGAGATACTAAGTTATGAGTTAAAAGTTGAAATTATGAGATAAAAGTCATAAATATGGCATAAGAGTCAAAATTGAGACAAAAGGTGATAAAAATGTCAAGGATTCTTATAACAATTATGTCAGAAAAATAAAGTTAATAAAGTTTTATGTCACAATTCTTATCACATCATTTCAGCTTATGTCAGTTTTGACATTTTATCTCATAATTATAACTTTGTATTATTTTGGCTTTTTATATTATAATTATGATTTACCAAAGCATGATTTTTTGGCTTCCATAGGATCAACATCTAGCGGCCCCAAAAAGTATTTCAAACCTCAAATGGACACACTTAAAATGTATTAACTTTATTACATTAGATAACAAAATATTAAATGAAGTTCTCTGCAAAGATATAATGCTAGAATTTTTTCAGAACTAACTTCACATTAACTATAGACATATTCCACTAACATTTGCACAAAAACAATACGTTTTGTCTTCTTTCTGAACAGTATCTCAGTATATTGTTTTATCATTTTAAACCTCTTTTTGTGAAAAGCTATACTTATAATAAATGCCACTTGGTTTGATGTTGTGATACAATTCAATGACATTCATGCAATAACAAGTGTACACATACTTTTGGGGCCATTGTATGTATATGAGCTCTTTGTTGTTGAAACAGTGGAATGGGAAACATAGATTTACATAGAAGGGGTCTCCTCCAAGAACTTTGTTGAGGGCGAAGCAGGGATACTGCAGCAGTGACACCACAGCTGATAGGGACATCACTAGACCATACAGCTTTCCAAAATGACGGGCAGGAAACCTGTAGGAATTCAGATTCATTGCACTCACTTAAGAAAAGATTTCAATTTAGCGACAATCAAGATACTTATATCACTCATTTTACTTACGCTATGCTGATGAATGCAGCATTCCCTCCGTACAGAAAAGAACGGTTAAGGACCTGAAGGATGAATGTGACGTACTGGAGAGGGAGGATCGGAATGCTTGCACAGATGGAGAACAACAAGCACTGCAGAGAGGTGAGGAGGAGAGATAGAACGGACGAGTGCAGGTCTGCTTCCCGTTCTGACACACCTACAAAAATATCCAGGGTGGGAATGAGAAAGAAAAATGGTAAAGGTGTGAGAAGACAGATCTTCACATTTCCCTGTCAACTGACCTGGATCTAAGGGTTTTCTTTTGTGTCGGTCCATTAGCAGGCCATTCCAGGGAGCACAGAGAACTCCACAGAACTGGGTGAAAGCAAACGCATTGGTGTACTCACTCACTGAGAATGAAAAAGAGATAAAGAAGTCTCAGTCAAATCCTATAACCTCTGCTACTATCGCAGTAAGGCATTTGAAAATGATCCTAGGGTTGTTGCCAATCAGAATGGCAAAATCCAATTCCATTCCTGAATTTTGACTGGCATAGCAAAGAGGATGCAGAATTGTATCTAAGGGAGTAGAATTAAAATGGAATGAAATTCATGTGTAGTTTTTAACAATATATATTTTTCTTTCAGTAAAAATTACCCATAAAAATGATCCTACACACAACAAATGGGATATTTCCAGAAATATATCATCATATTAATAGTCAATGTTTGAAATGTCAGAAATACAGACATTTTAATTTATTTTTTATTTTAATGTTAATTGATTTAATATTTTTTAATATATAATTTATAAATATTTAATATAATAATTTACATCAATTAAGAATTCTTTAATTTACCTCAAAGTCTGATGTGTGATTGTGTTAAATGTCTTTGAATTCAGTAAATTCCTCCTCCTGTCATTCAAATTCAAGTTCATTTTATGAACTGAGAGGCTCCTACCATAAACAAAGATTTCACAGAATTCATTGAAAAGCATCATAGTAATGAGAAAATGTGTTTACCAATGTCGGGGTCTTGGTTGGCCAGTCTATTGAGCATTGGATTCAGAGTTCCAATGAAGAAATAATGCCGCAGCTGCATGACTGACAGCCATATGAGGTGCCACAGGAAGAACCAGGACAGAAAACAGCTCCTAAAACTGTCTATAGCAGAAGAAGAAGAAGCCATTTGTTGATAAGAAAGGTTTCAGTAATCATGCAGTGTCATGTTTTACCAAACTAAGACCTATGTTGGCAAAGCAGCACCTGTCTCAGAGTTGTCTGTTAGCTTTAGTGTGTCAGTCTCCAGTGGCTCATCATCTACACCTCTGCCTCTGTCTGAACGCAGGTCTCGCTCTGCCTCGTACTGTTCAATGTTGTAGCTATGTGATTTAGCACAGCTCATCCTGTAAATAAGGATTTGCATTTGAATTAATATGGATAAGATCATGAATTATGTACTAAACATAATTAAGGCTATATCAGATTTACTACATACTAAATATAGAGTATATACACTATGCTTCATTTATCTACAATAATATATAACATTTGTTTTAAATGTATGGAATTATTCAACTTATTTGTTGCAAAAAACATAAATGTATCATATAAACAATATCTGAATTAGAATTTCACTTATTTATTTTACACTATCGTCCAAATGTCTGGGGTTCGGTAAGATTTTTTAGAAGTCTCTTATGCTCACCCGAGGCTGCATTTATTTGACCAAATTACTGTAAAAATTATAATATTGTGAAATATTATTCTGAAATATTGTATTTAAATAACCTTTCTATTTGATTATATTTTAAAATGTAATTTATTCCTGTGATGGCAAAGCTGACTTTGTGTCACATGATCCTTCAGAAATCATTCTAATATGCTGATTTGCTGCTCATAAAATGTTTCTTATTATTATTATCAGTGTTGAAAACAGTTGTCCTGTTTGTCCATGCTTTTGTGGAAACCATGATGCTTTTTTGATTATTTGATGAATAGAAAGTTTAAAAGAGGGTCAGGAACGCTTGTGTAGGAAAGTGCACTGTATTGCCACTATATCTGTTTAAATTTATTTTATTCTAGAATGCATTGTCCTTTTTCTTTAAAGTAATCGCTGATCCACTTCTCTTGTTTGTGTGTTGAAGCTTGCTCGCATTTCACCAGAAAGACACCATGCACATTGGTTATACTTTCCACGTATTTGGACTAAATTTAAGTTCTACATGCTCCTCTCAAGAGAGGGAGCTATAGATCTGCTGTTGAAAACAACATGACAGAACATTTAGGAAGTTTGCATAAGAATTCACTAGAGGATGGAAAGTATTACTTCTGAGCTATTTGTGTGATCACATTCATGTTTGTTGTCAGCATCTTTGTATGCTACAATCCTTTTAGTTTCTAGGCCTATCCCTAAAATTCTCACCCTCTAAAACCGTGCATGTGTCAGTTATGTAAAACTGCAAGAAGAGGCAGACAAAGCCATCTTATAAGTCACGTTTAATTGGTGCTATTCTATTTAATATATATATCTATAATAGCATATCTTTCTCTGTATCTACCAACACCCTACCACACGGCGCTCTAAAATACTTGATTCTGATTGGTCATTCGCAGCACTGCGCGACGACCAAATATTTTTGTATAATCACCCCTAAACTGGATATTTATCTTGCATCGCAAATTACAGTCGCTAAGTAGGATCACGGGGTATACTGACAGTAATAATAAAAAATAGCTCGAAGGATAATGTACATATATGACTAGAATAAAATATTGATAGATGGCTAGAGGCATGAGAATTCCCAATCAAAACAAGAAAACGACAAACGAGGAGAACAATACATTATTATTATTATTATTATTAGTGTAAAAGTGCCATTGTTATTGATTAATGATGTAATAGATAATGTACGAGAAAAGAAATACGTAATTTGAACTCAAATCAGTATTTTATGACCATGTTTATTTGGCAAGCAGGAAAAATGTACATCCAGATAGCACAAAATAAATTCTCCAAAAACTATCTATCTATTTATCTATCTATCTAGTACTTTTTTGTCAATCTATAGATTAGATGAAGCAATGTTATAGGCTACCTTTGACAAAAAGACATTCAAAACTGTAATAAAACACCTGTTTCCATTATTTATTTTACAGTATTTCCAATGGCACTTTTTACCTAAATTGTAGTATTGACTGCATTCATTAAGCTCAACGCTGCAATCCTGTTCCAAGTTCTTGCAAGAAAAAAGTGACTGACATATTGTTTTAAGCTACATTTAGCTAATATTATACCCATTATATTTTGTCTGTTTGTATATTTTGTTTATTCATGTTTATGTACATTTATTTTATATTTCTAAAATGTTTATTTAATGTTTATTGCAAGAACATTTTGGTAACCGCTGCGCCAATGGAAGACTTAAAGAGATGCAGAGCATGAGAACGCGAGGGAAGCAACCAGGTAAGGTTAAACATGTAATGGACTTGCAGTTCCTGACCTACATCTGTCCTGCCTGGTTGAACAGATAATTCAATCTTGTGGCCATGTGGCTCCCTCTTGTGGATAGACGTTAAAGCGTTGTGTGTTTGATCATGAGAGCTTGTACTGTCTTTGTCTGATGCAGGTGCTAAAGGACATAAAAATACACTTATTATATGTGTAAAAGGTTGTCGGTGCCATCAAAATGAGAGTCCAAGCAGCTGATAAAAACATCATAATAGTCCACAAATAATCCACACTACTGCAGTCCTTCAATTAACATATTATGAAGTGAAAAGCTGTGTTTGTAATAAACAAATCTGTCAAAATATGGCCATACGATATGACTCCTCTATCCATAATCCATTCACCAATGAAAAAGTTGTCTAATCTGAATAAGGAGCGAAATATGCACAGATCAAGCACTGTTTACAAGCAAAAACAGTCCAAAACAGATCTATACTTGTGGATTATTGTGATGTTTTCAACTGTTTAAACTCTTATTCTGACAGCACCCATTCACTGCAGAGGATCCATTTGATGAAATGCTAAATTCCTCCAAATATTGAAGAAAAAAAATCGAATCTGTATCTTGGATTGCTTAAGGGTGAGTATATTTTCAGCAAATTTATTTTGGCCAAAATATAGTACTGAGAGGGCCCCACTGTAGTTTCCACTGGTGAACATTAGATGGAGCCATGAGAACCCTAACCAGCCCTCTCATGACTCACTTGTTCTGCTCAACATCAGTCATCTGTTGTGTCCCATGCAGTTTAATCAATTATTTCATACATTGCCAAATTCTGCAACTGGTCATAACTTCCCTGCATTCTCTTCTCATCAGTTCAATGAAACACTTTTAATCAGATCTGATTCTAGAGTATAACAGGAAATAGACATTTTACTGAAAAAAGCGTTATTAGAAGTGACAATGTAAAGTAAAATGCCTTAATAGTGAATTTGTTTCTAGCTCCTCATTGGTGGCCTGCTATTTGATGAGGATAAATCTCAGGTACCTTTTCGAAGAAACACTGCATTATATGTGAAATATGCCACATCTTGAATTTATAACTGCTTACATATTTTTGTTGAAGATTCTTCACTGAATTTTAAAAGAAACTGTGAGAGCTCCAAACCAGCATAAGGTCCTATGAATGTCTCATATTGTTTTTTCCCGGTCCTTGCTTATTTGTCTTGTCGGTCCTTGAAATGGTCATGGATTCCAACCTGACCTTATCTGAGATTTAATTGTGGCATTCGGAGAGAACATCAGGAACTGTTAAACAGGCCCAGAATAAACAATAGAGCCGAGTGGGCATACACTACTATTCAAAACTTTGAATTTGGTAAGATTTTATGCTCACCAAGGTTGCATTTATTTGATCACAAAGACAGTAGCCAGAAATATTGTAAAACAATACATTTCCTACATAAACAATTTAAAAATACCTTCGGATGCATAATAAGGTAAACTAAAAGGAAACAAAAATACCAAAAGATAGCAATTAAGCAGAAATGGAGTATTGATCCTAAGCCTCTGCTGATTCACATTTAAACTGGTCCCTAACCTGCTGGGACTAGTTCTGGCAACAAACTGCCTGGTGGCTATAACAATACACCATGTGACCTGACACCAATGTGCAACATCACATGGACAAACGTGGAATTCTCTATTTTCTGGCTGCTGAACATTTTTGTGTGCCCTAGGGTCAAGGGAGTGACCTACGAACCTATCAGGAGCTACTGTGGGCTCCTGTATTTGCTACTAGTAGGGCGACTCTGACTCAACTACTGAGCGCTTGGATCCACAAACTCCCACCCTATCTGGTTGTGTTGAGGTTAGTTTCAACATCAACTGAATGGAGTTTTAACATCAGCCGAGCTTGATTCCCTTGGTGGGGAATTCAGTGTTACTGTAATATCCCACGATGAACTGAAAGGTTCAGATGACTTTGACTAGATATGACTGATGCTTCATTGACCCACCAGTGACAGATCATGAGTCTGATTCGAGCTAACTGATAAATATAGGAAATGAGTTGACTGTTGTGGAAGTAATAGATAACATTTGAACATTTGAATTCAAATTTATATTACTAAGATTGACATCAATAGTGCATCTATAAATTGTAGGCCTATGTCTATAACCACACTTTTTATTGCCCTTTAATTAACTGTGTGATATTGTCAGAATTATCTATTTATTTTGCTTTAATTGTTCTGTCTGACAGGGCAAACAATTACAGATAACCTTTCATCAGCCTTTAAAAAGCTTGTTTGAAAGCAAACACCCAATATCACTGTTTAAGGTTAGTTCTTCTTGTAATTATAAAATGGCCTGTTTCCCAAACCTTCAAGTGACATCCATCTGGTAACCTCAGGAAGTCTTCTGAGCAAAAGACATGCAAACTGAGATGGTCTTAGATGGACCAAGGCATTAATAATTCATATGTTTTGAATGCAATGTCAGTTCTGTGTAGTGGTGACAAGTCCATCAAGATTCGCATAACACACAAAAAAAAATGTATTTCCACTAAAAGTAAAATTGTAAATTAACCAACTTCATATTCCTCATAGTGCATATTGAAAAATGCATGTGATGGCTTTACTTAAAAGAATAATGAAATTCAAAATCTAAAATCAGGCTAAATAGTTAAGCCATTGTCTTCCCTCTAATTTTGACAGTAATTTTCCATTGCACGTGCAGGGTATAAATGAAAAGATACTTGATTTACACTGGTTGGACCCTTTGGAGAACTGTAACCTGAGAAACCTTAAATGGTGCTTCAAGTATTATCTGATTTTCATATCATCACCGGATAAAGAAATAAACAAAAAACTAAATAAATGACGAAATAAAACAAATACAGAAATGAGTAACTGTAGGCTATATGCAAAATCGGAAAATGATACATGAATAA